TCGAACTAGGTGCGTTCTACTAAGTCGCCCTGACAAGACCAAGTTGCGACGAGGTCAAATCACTTCTATAAATCGAAAGGAGACTGTGACCATACCTGGGCCACACCATCTTGGTCTTCATTCCTTGTATAATTTTGTTTTTCTTTTTTCTATATAATTGGTTATAATAACGTAGCAAGGGTAATGAAACGCATTCTGCATTGTATCATGTTAATATGTTGTTAGTAATTTAGGTCTACACCAAATAAATCAAATTTAGTATGCAAGTCCTTTTAAGGTTCGTAATGAGAAGTTCACTATGGGCACTTCTTAGCTTTTCTTTATTATTATAGTTTTTTAGTATCCTATAAACATATAAGCATAGCCATGATGAGAAGTTGGAAAATTTATTTGGGTAGTCTCAATACAAACACTTACCATGCGAAGGATCACCATCACCAGAATTGCCACTCGAGTTGGAAACAAGAGCAATCTTCTCCTCTCTCAGAGCCTCCATGAAAGAAGCAGCCTGATATGAGGCATATTTTGCTATAGTTGTATGAGTACGTGGTGACTCGCAAAACCAACGGCTTCTGCCTTTAGGGTCGGAATTTTCATCCGGAGCTTGAAAACGTTGCGTCCGTATCTAGAAGAGACAAATTAGGGGAGGTAGGCAATAAAAGGGTATAATTCAAATGTACCAAGGAAACAAGTAACATTTGTTTACAAAATTAAAGACTAATATATAACCAAAACATTATATAATTCGGTGAAGATTTAAGACTTTTATACGTATTTTTACAGAATACTAATAAAATAAGATTATTCATTAATAGCTAATACCATTGATAGTCCGGGGGCGACCAAATTATAAGAAAAATTTGGAGAGGCCCTATCTAAATTGCATGCAGATATATGTATCTAATTACTTAACTAAACAGTTACTTCGATTAGGAATCAATTTCGAAAGCTTGGTGCATTTAAAGTACCTAAATTCATGGTATCCCAAAAATCCCTATTTTAAATAGTAGTTTATCAAATCTAACATAAAATCTTGAGCATATTATAGGTGTACAGTTTAGTTTTAGCCAGCTAAGCTTTATTAATATACACCATAATTGAGGGTTTAAGCTGAGAAATTCCGCTCATGTCTTGATAAATATGCTACATTATAATCAGAGATATGATTTATAAAACAATAAAAAAACACATTTGACTCTATCCATCCATAAGTATTAATACCTAGGAAAAATCGAAAATATGAATAATATAAAATAAAGGTATGAAGAGCAAGATGGCGTGGCCTTAAGTATGATTGCGGTCTCCCTTCATTGTAAAGAAGTTGTTTGACGGTGTTTTCGAAACTTAGATAGTGAAAAGGCCTATATGAAAGCACGGTGTCTGGAGTCCATAGTATGCATTCATCCATCTGCTATCTGCCTTGTTCAGTGATACCTCTATATCACTACCACCATATCCGTGCTACTCAAGGCATTATGTTCTACGCTCTGCCTCGCCCTTAATAGCACGTATAAGCCAGCCCCTAAAGTCTGGATTCACAATTAGCACTGAAGCCGAACTTGATGCTGCAGATTCCCTTATCACTGTGCGGCATTTGCACCGAGAAAACCTCACGTTCAAGCCTTTACTTAATGGACCTCGTCAATGATCAAACCTATCTACTAATAGTCAACTATCAATCGTGTCCGCCACATCTCTCACTCTTCTATCCCAAGTCTCTGACTTTCTTATGCTTTAGTCTCTTGTGTGCCAACCCCAAATGTGATCGTTTTAATTTATTTTAATAGAAACACTGAAGAGCATATTAAAAAAACAAAACAACGGAGAAATCTACGAATATATAATGAAGTTTTCATTAAAAATGAAGCCTATAGACTACATAAAATACAGAAGGAAAACCGCTATGATTAAGAGTCAATAACAAGTATAAAGGAACATACAAGCTAGCGAAATTCATTTGCTTATAGGTTGCCAAAGTAAATGACAGACTCTCGAACACCATAAAAAATTCAGATTAATTCTCTATAAGGGTCCGAAACATCGGGCTGGCGGGGACGCAACTATTCGAAAGTTTTGACGTATAATCCATATACACAAGCATCTCAGGCGAGGTGGCAAGCGCCCTTATAAAGATCTTGGAAATAAAAGATATTTTGGAAGAAAAGGGTTGTGGAGTAAATTGCAGTATTGAATCAACACTCATAGAATAGTGGGAGAGATGTGGCAACCAGCGGGAAGTGTGTATAGATTTCATTTAGGTTCAGACAATTTATCAAAGGATCGACTTCACTTGTCTCTTTGACTAGACGTAGTGCGTTGCTAAGTCTGGCAAGGCTCACTCACGATGCCGACGAAATGTCTAGGAATGTACCAACTCTATGATCCGACTCTGGAAATTATCGTTCATATCATGGACTCCGGGAATACTGCATTCCTCTAGACCATCAAGCAAATATGACCAAGTTAAAAAAACAGGATAAATCAACTTCAATAAAATATAAATAGCATGAGTTCATCTTTACTAGGTGAACTACATGATGCCAAAACCAAGATAAGCAATCATTTATGCACAAATCAAGAGAAAATAATGTTACTGCATAAAATAAAAAAACGCAAGAATCCCAGATAGTAGTAGGAAAGTACTAAATGACCTCGACACGATGATCTGGATGAGCTTCAACAAGAGATTTAGTTGAGAAGAGACCAAGATCGAGACGCAGAGCGGCAGCCAGGCCTCTGATTACGACAGTAGGCTGGGAAAGACAGTAACGCATTAACTCCGGTGACAGGGCGTCTTTTCGACTGTCCAAATAGACACTTGGTGTAGCTGGCATTAGAAGCCGATTGCGATCTAATCCAGAGACGGGCTGACCAGAAAGCGAAGACACAGGAAGAGGAGGGCAGGGCTTTTCCGGAGGCGATGGCAGAGGACCATCTTCGGGCAGGAGGCTAGGCCACCAGGGTCCACCAGAGCAACCAAGACCAAGTACAGAATCCAGAAGCTGCAAAAATGTCACCAAAGATTAAAAATAATAGGGGCAAGAGGTAAGCAAGAAGATGGGTATAAAAACTAGATATGAAAGAGAAAAACTGATTATATGTGAAATTTTCATATCTCCTTTCAACCCAAATATAAGTCAAGCTCAAATGAATCTTTGACATGTATTGAAAAGATATGTTTAAAAACCTTGAGAAGAGTCCAAGTAGCCTTGAGCCTCTCAAGGTAATTTAAGAAGATATTTTAGAATCCCCAAAAAACAAAACAAATAGAAAACCACAAGATAACATTAAATTACAGATAGCATTGCCTCAAGAGGAAATATATCAGTATATTGTAACATGAGTTTCCATTTCGAAGGAAAAGGTGGTTTAAGAGATTCGTGATGTGGGCTTACCGGAAACAGAAAGGATTGCTGCATATGGAAGACTGCTGAAGTGTGTGAAGTCCTCGGTTCACCGTGTTGCGACCCCGATAACACTGTGCTAAGCTTTCGTCTGTACTGTGGCAGACATCATCAGAGAAGGAATCCATGTTGTACGAAATAGATCAAAAATATATTAAACCAAGGGAAAAAGTGGCCGGCTACAACCCTAGCCGCTTTGTTATACATCTAACCTCGCGATCTTAATGAGGCATCCCATGATTTGGGTGGCTACTTCAATTTTACTCTACATGCTTGCAAATGAGTGAAGTTACTTCTAGAACCGATGGCATCTGTTTACTTTCAGTCGAATTTTCTTCGAAATGGAAACTCATCTCATAATATTTCCCTAAGGAATTCTTCAAAAACCAGTTTTTTCACAGCATTATCAGTAGAGCCTTCCTTGATTGCAGGGGATTTATGTTAAACCTTGGAGGGGAATTGCATAAGTAAAATTGAGCCATAATTTCATATTTAATATAAATCGAATGTATGAACTCAATTTTATGCACTAAAGCAAAATATTATGGTTACACATTTATTCATAGATCTTAGAGCGGTAATATAAATCGGGACTAAGGCTTTAGTCTTAGGGATAGGTTGTGCTCATACAAGTAAATATGAAAGTTGAAAATTGTAAACAAAATTACCAGGCTGCGGTAAGTGTATAAAAATATACATAGATAAATAAATCTAAAAGGGATGCATTTAAGGTAGGAAGAAGCAACATTTAGATAAAAGAGAAGTTACGCACAAATAAGCATAAATGCAGAAGCAAATAGGTGAAGAAAAAAGTTCTGCTCTCAAACGATGACTTCATCGGACTTTGATTGTAGTATTGGAGTTTAAAGACTGCTCTGATCGAAAGCTAGCCTAATCCATTTCAGTTACACTAAAGTTTTGACTAGTACAAGCAGAAGGCTTGATCACAATCGAAGCAAATATAAATTATGTAAAAAATATATTCATATTATTGGAAAAACATTAAAAAATACTGCATATGATCATATACAGTACCAAGATTTTCAATGATGTAATCACCTGTCTAGCCGTAGTGGTAATACTGAGACTAGCTGTAATGCTTGTGGGCGGACAGAAGGGGCGAGTCAGATAGTCAAGAAGGTCACCATTACCACCAAAGTTAATACTGCCAGTACTTCTGGCACCACCAGCAATACTGCCACTGGCAACAGAAACACAGGGTTTAGTTTCAGGCCCGTTGGGCTCAAATCCAGCTGACCTGTGACCATTTATCTGAGCTGTAGTATCGGTAGATCCAAGACGCGATTGCCTACGTTGATGGTAGGATATTGAATCATCGGCTGAAACACGATGGACAGGACTGACTTCTTCATTAGCACCAACCTTAGAGTTAGCTACTCTGTCAGAAGCTTCTCCTTCCCCTACCCCGCCAGTTAACTCGTTACTAACTGATGCGGATGAACCAATTGTGTTCGCCGAGACCGATGAAATAAGGCCGGTGGACAAGGAAGTGGCTGCAGCAGGCTGGCTAAAGAGGGCACGCTCGTCAAAATCTAAACCTCCTGGCGCCTCCGCACCATTTAACTGGGCCAGTAGATCATCTGTGAGGAAAGCAAGATCCTCTTCCTCGGGCAAATTGACTGCTCCCGAAGGACTGCCCACGCTTGGAGGCAGATCATCTTCAGAAAAGAGGTCATCAGGCCCTGGAACAGGATCGGCCGATACGACTGCAGTGGTCCGAGTAGCCACTTCAGTCGAAAGACTTGAGGCTGGGCCTGTGTCACAAGCTGCAGAGTTGGAACCGGAAGAGACAGGAGGTGGAATACAAGAGAGTAGGCCAGAGGTGAGTGTTGGCGTAGTTTCATTATAGCTATCGGGGTGGGAGTCGGAGTTAGTTGGATTGTCAATCGTAACTCCTCCACGCAGACGCCGCAATTTCAACTGGTATATGTGATGACGGAGGACCTGAGATTGAAGATCGCCTAGTAAATGCCGTTGGCTAGGCGTAAGATTGTTGCCCTGCATCTATAGGGAAAAATATTAAGTGCGGACAAATGGCCAAAAGGGGTAATGTTAGACAAATCATAGCTGACTAGAATCCTAAGTAAGATAAGAAAACTTGTTCGTCTTAAAGCATATCATTGCAATGTTCCTAGCTCCAAAACCACTGGTTAATACGTTTTAAAGTTAAGTCTCCAAGTTGTTCTGATTAAACCCTTAAGCACAAGTAATTTAAAGCTCTTTAATCCTTGGTTAATACTCATGGGTCTGTGACCCTGAAACATTTTGAAACAAAATTTTCGCAAAATAACTTTTAGACAACCCTGCCCACATGCCTGTGCATTCTCATTATTTACTGTGAGCTTGCACATGGTAGTTGTGTTCTGTCTTCCTGTGCATATTTCGTGGCATTAGAGTGGTGACAGGGTCACATTGACCCTTCAATAGCAACGACATCGGCATGTATATGTCAAAAAAACCTGCCATATACGGTCTGAAGATAGTGATGTTGACTGATGCCAAAACCCATCACATAGTAAATGTAGAAGTTTATTGTGGCAAAATAACGAACCAACCTAAACCCAAAAATGGAAAACTTTTACCAACTCAAGTTGTGCTCCGCTTGATATCTCTAGTTGAGGGTTCTAATCAAAATATTACAGGCGACAATTGGTTCTCGTCCATTGAATTAGTAGAAGAGCTGTGGTCACGAAAACTAACATATGTGGGGA